GCTTATAAAATAAGAATGAAAATCTTTACCAAAACGCTAGAGACAGGTAACCAATTAAACAACCCCTCTGTGGTATGACTGAATTGTATTCAAATCAGGCATAAGCGACTTCATCGTCCAAATTTTCTTTATAAATAGTAGAGTGGTGCATAACTTAGGTTGGAGGCAGAACGCATGACAAGAACCAAAGAAGTAGAATATGGCATATAGGCTCACCAAGGAAAACAGGAAACAGACATCTCCTTAATGACCGGTCCAGGTCGGGCGACGACTGCACCAGTGATGCAATGTTCGGCATGGTCTTTTCCCTTTGATGCCGCATCAGCTGCGGCTCTTTTCTCCTGTTTCTGTCTTGCTGTTGCATATTCAGACCGAGTTCGACGCAACAGACTTAAACCAGTTGACACTCGGCTAGTAGGTATTGCAGCCGTCAGCTTTATTGAGCTATCAGGCGGTAGTGTTGTCAGGGTGGAACAAACAGATTTCATCATTAAACCGCGAGGACTTGGGCTAGACGAAGTCGTGGTGGAGACTGGTGTCGTCTCTCGACCAACACCGGCCGGATCCTGCACAGAACAGCCACGCCCACGAAGTACTTGTTCGGCAGGTCGGCCAGCCTGCGCCATGAGAAGAGCGATGCCTGCAGTTGCTGTTCTGTTTGTCCCTGAGGGAGCCCAACATTGCGTATGCCTTTTCGATTCTGGCAGATGAGAGGTGGTACTGACAGACCCACCAAAGTAGGAAGCTAAACGTTAAACAGATTTGATAATATAAATGCAATTATTGTAGGGTTCGATCTTTATCATTATTGTCTCCTGTTACAAGCCAGTGATAAAACGCGTTTTAACCATGTCCTACTTGACCTCATTTGTAGGATTTCTAAGTAAGACCCTGTTAACATTTTAGTTTAGTTTTTGGTTAATTTCAATCAAAGAATGAATTTGCGTGACGATGACATCTGTTGCGGTTGGATAGACGAAAGCTCAGAACGAATACAAAAAGGTCGCAATACTGTGCAGCGAGTACCTACTCGTACAATTTAACAATCCTCTCACCAAGATCTTTGATTACCGGTGAGACCCAATTAAAAATCCTATCCATTCAAGTTTTTATGCAAAATGAAAATTCTAGTCACGTGAGATTATTAACGCATTCTGCGAAACATCGATTTACTCAAGCTGATCCGATTATGAGTTTGTGGTTATCAGATGGATCCGGAATCGAGACTACAATTCGAATAAAAAACTGTGATTTTAAAAAGACAGATAAACCCCAGTTATTAAGCATACGCTTGATGGGATTATGTTTAACGCTATAAATTTTTAAGCAAATTTAGATCTAGATTTAACATAAAATGTATATCTATGAATCCAGCACCGAGATGTCTAGCTTTGGATTACGCTTTGGATATTCTCATCTTTCGTGTGGCATCATTTGTTAATAAACTTGTGAAAAAAG